CCCCCGGTTATTAGAGAGCAGCGATAAGAGCCTCCGACTGCCCGAGGGACCAAAAACGTTTCACGACTATCGACTATCGACTATCGGCTATCGACTATCGGCTGTCGATTATATTAGCTGATAACCTATTAATAGTGGCCCACTTTTGAATAGATCCATTTGGAGGCTGCCAACTAGTTCTCAACCCGTTCTATGAACCAACATGGAAATCCAATCAATTGTCGAACAAGTTCCAGGCCGGAACCTAAATTTACTTGTTTCCATGAACCGAAACTTGAGTCAAATCAAAACATCTGAACATAAAACCTTATTAAACCCAATTTGTTTCTTTAAAAGCGTTTGGCTAATGATGTTTGGCAGACAATGAAAAGTACCTATGGGCAGGGAGTTAGTTTGAACCGTGAACCGAACCAGCTGCCGCGCTTATTTTAATACAAATTTCTAAGAGAAATTTTGTTCAAAAAAAAAATCGTAAAAAATACGAGATTAGTTAAGATTGAACTTCATAGTTTTATTCCCCCCATTTGGATTCTTTAATTCTGATATAAAGCTAGCTGGGCAAAAACTTAAGCAGAAAATATCGATGTGCTCTATTAAAAAATTTCCAAGGCTTGATTTGAAATTAAAGTTTTTTTTTATATATTTAATACGCCAAATTTTAAGTTTCGAACATTTTCGAAAAGTTTTCGAACGTACTGTCTCTTAATGTCTAAATATATAAGAAACTAAATGATAAAAAAAAAGTTTTCAAAATATATTTTTAGCATCTGAAGTTTTCAATCTCTCTCTCTATATGTTCCTCTTCGCGAGTGACTACTGTAACTATAACTGAAAGTTAGTTCTCCATTTTTCTGTCTGTATTTGTTTTTTATCATCATTATCATTAAGTGCATATAATTGTATGTTCACATTCTCGCTCTACTCCGATTGTAATGAAATTTTCAAGAAAGTTGAAGTCGCTCGCTCTCGTTTTCTCTCTCTCTCTCTCTCTCTCTCTCTCTCTCTCTCTCTCTCTCTCTCTCTCTCTCTCTCTCTCTCTCTCTCTCTCACTCTCTCTCTCTCTATTACTCTCAGTCCCTTTCTCTCTCGATCTCTCCGTCGCTTTCTCTCTCTCTCTCTCTCTCGATCCCTCTGTCGCTTTCTCTCTCTCTCTCTCCCTTTCTCTCTCTCTCTCTATCTCTCTCTCTATCGATCTCTCTCTCTCGATCTCTCTATCTCTGGATATCTCTCTCTCGATCTCTCTCTATCTCTGGATATCTCTCGCTCTCGATCTCTCTCTCTATCGATCTCTCCCTCTCTCTCGATCTCTCTCTCTCTCGCTCTCGATCACTCTTCCTCTCTCTCTCTCTCGATCTCTCTCTCTCTCGCTTTCTCTCTCTCTCTCTCTCTCTCTCTCTCTCTCTCTCTCTCTCTCTCCCCCTTTCTCTTTCGATCTCTCTCTCTCTCTCTCTCTCTCTCTCTCTCTGTTCTCCCTTTCGCTGTTTCTCTTCTTTTCTCCCTATTTCTACCTCTCTGTCTCCCACGCTCTCTGATTGGGCACCATGTTGAATGTTGCAGATCTCTCAACTTCAGCCCAGATAAGAGCCGTAGATATGTTGGGCAAGCGTAAAAAATTGAACAGCAGCTGCAAATTCATAATCTTCTGCTCGCTAATTTTGGGAAGCGTTCATCTATCAGATGTGAATTTTTGATTTGCAGTCTCATTTGTTGTTTTGTGCGATACACACGCACACACACAGAGAGAGAGAGAGAGAGAGAGAGAGAGAGACATGTAGACTCTGGGCACATATTGTTGATATATGCACTGAATATTCTTCTGTTGATGTTGTTGTTCTTTTTGTTGTTGTTGTTGTGAACTAAATGCGTCAATTAAATAAAAAAAATATACAATGCTCGCAGCTACTCGGCCAGCGTTGTAGATACAGATACAAATGTGCACACATGTAGATACATTAGATGTGTGTGAGCACACCCACACCTGCTGCATGTGTGTGTGTGTGTGTGTATGTGTGTGTGTGTGTAGAAATTATTAATAAATTATGATTTTGGATGACACTATAAATCGCACGTACACACACACAGCTGCACTGCGGCCCCGCGCGTGTGTGTAAAACGCGATGCTAATCAACAGCGCGTTGAGCGATTTAAAGCATCAACAACAACAACAAAAACAAAAACAATAATAACAACATTAACAACAACAAGTCGAGCATTGAAATGATCTCGCAAATCCAATATCAGGCTGGCACATGCACGACTAAATCTATATCCATTCCCATCTATGTATATCTATGCATCCATTTTGCCGAATTTGGTTCCGTTATTGGGGGCGGGGGGGTCGTGTGTGTGTGTGTGTGTGTTTGTGTGTGGAATTTAGGGTGTGAGGTGGTGTGTGGTTGGATTGGGCTTTATAAGTAACCCATCTTTATAAGCACAAGTGTGCGCTATTTTTGAAATCTTTAATTTAATTTATTCTTCGTTTTTCAAATTTTTATTAGCTCTTTAATGACATTTCGCTGCTTTTGGCGCATTAAGAGGCCTGCCTCAGCGTCTGCCCCGGAACACCCGCCACCCAGGCCCCTGCACCCGATGGACGGACGGACGGACCACCATCAGCTAAACCCAATCCCAAGTCCATTGCCTGTCCGGCCTGTTACGTGGCTCATTAAGAATTTTTAGTTTTTAATTGACAAACGAATGCGAAAAAATAAATTAATAAATAAATTGAAAGAAACTACAACAACAACAACAACAACAAAAACAACAACAAGACGCAAACAACTCAAGAAATGGCAAGCGAATAGTTTTCGTTTGAAAATTCTTTTTTTTCTTCTTTCAATATTTTATAATTTTTCAAATGAGCCAAAAAGATGTCAGGGGCTAAAAATTGGAATGCGAAAGCTATGTTGACAGCAAGTCGAACTATTACCAGATTTTTGGGTGTGCGTGTGTGTGTGTGTGTGGAAGGGGTGCAAATTGTTGACCAAGAAAAATCAAGGTGATTCGATAACTGAAAGATCTATATAAAAATTTGATCAAAAATCATATTGAGTATGCTCTTTGTAATTGAGTATACTCATTCGTATTGAATATACTCATAGCTATTGACTGTAATCATAAGTATTCAGTATATTCTTTTTGTATTGAATATTCTCATTCCTATTGAATATACTCATTGCTATGGAATATACTCGTTAGTGTTGAATATACTTATTGTTATTGAATATACTCATTTGTATTAAAAAATTCTTTAGAATTGAGTATACTCATTGGAATTGAATATAATCAATCGTATTGAATGTACTTATTTCAATGAGTACACTCATTCATATTATATAAACTCATTCGTTATGAATATACTAATTAGTGTTGAATATACTTATTAGGTTTGAATACTCATTCGATTTGAATATAGTCATTAGTATTGAATATACTCCTTATCATTGAATATACTCATTGCCATTGAGTAAACAAATGCGTATTGAATGTACTCATGCGAATTGAATATGCTCATTCGTATTGAATATATTTGCTTCTATTGAATATACTCATTCGAATTGCGTATACTCATAGGCACAAGCAGAATCCCTGAATATCAATAACCAAATAACTCGATCGGAAAACACAAGACTTAACATCTTAATAAAATAAAAATGTTGGATTAAAATTTTGTTACCTTTTTTTTTTAATTTAATTTGCTTATAATTACATTTAGCTGTGAACTAGTTTGAGTTGTGCGTAAAACTGAATCTACGAAACGACAAAAACTCATCTAGTTTTTGATTATTTCCGTGACAAGTCGTTCCCGTCAGTACATCATAATGATATACAAGGGCAACTCGAGTTTGTCACAGCACGACCAGAAAGTCATCCGATCGTTAGCGTATTTGTCGATTTAATTTAATTTATGCTACTTTTGTTGTTGTTATTGTTGATGTGCTTCCAACTTTGCTCAAATATTTTTTGTATTATTTTTTTTTTTTTCTGACAACACGCAGACTTTTATTAGCACCACGCCGCCAAATGAACGAGTGTTATTTATTTGCGCATGGATAAAAAAAAAGCACACACAAAAAAAAAACAATATAATAAAAAAAAGTATTTTAAAGAACGCGATTTGTGGGCCGAAGGGTGCCTGCAAGGAGCTTGAGCTGTCGGCCAAAGCGCAACAGTTATTGCCGGCAAGCTACCAAAAACCTGTGCACCTGTGCACCTGTGCACCTGCCGCCTGCCTCCCCCACCTCCCATAGAGACAACTAAGTCCAGCTGGGGTGCGGTTCGCTGGCGGCTCTTAAAAAGGGTTTAAGCTGCTTTCGTGCAAATCTGCCGCAACTAACCGCAAGAGCTTCAGTTACTCCCGCCCATCCGGCAAGCCTTTACACACACTCGCTGCCTGTGTGTGTGTGTGTGTGTGTGTGCGTGTGTTTGTGCGCCTTGTTACCTACATTTGATTTGGCTAATATTTAATGGCTGTTGCTTGTTTTTATGCACATTATTTGTTTGTAGAGCGCGAACTCACGCACAGTAATTGGCACGGGCACGGACAAGGGTGCGCGGGTCTGACAAGCAACAATGCTGCGATAATAACGGTAAGCATGTAAACAGAACGCCGCGTCACTTACAAAACGAAACGATTTGGAAGTGGAACCGAAACCGTTAACGAAACCCAAACCGAGCAACGGGCAGCAAGCGCTTTAGTTTTTACCGTTGCCACTGCCACTGCTGCCACTGCTGCTGCTGCTGCTGCTGCTGCTGCTGCTGCTGCTGTTGACGACGCGCCATACGATTCGTCCTGCCCGACGACGTGCGTGCTAATAAAACGCCGACGTCGTCGAGGCGGCCAGGTTGCGGCTGCTAACGCTGGCTGGTGTTGCTGCTGCTGCTGCTGGCGTCGCTGTTGCTGTTGCTGCTGCGCTGTCGCAGCTGCTGCTGTTATAAAGCGAGCCCCTCGAAATTGAGTGCAATCTCAAACAATTGAGTTCGACTCGACTTTAGTTGAGTTTTCTGATTTTGCTGTTGAGTTAAACTCAACAGCGTGTTTATTGCGCGCGCTCTCTCTCTCTCTCACACACAGATGCAGACTCTCTCGCACGCTCGCACATACACACACACATGCACTCACGCACACACGCTCGCATGCACACCTCTAGCAAGCAGTTAATTACAGAAATGCGCTTATTAGACTATTTGCATGGTACCGTATTCTCGGCGGCGCCCTGCGACTTGGCCTCATTAAAGAACAGCTCCAGCAGGGCGGGCTTCAACAGCTGATCGCCCTCTAAACGCTCGGCACTGTTCCAGCGCAACAGCGAGGGTATCACGCTGAGCGAGTAGGGCGGCAAACGGAATTTGTTGTTATCGCTGCGATCCTTCCAGGCGTCGCGACTGCCCACGTCCACGGTGTATATCAGCGAATTGGGATGGGCATTTTCACGAAGCGCTGTTTCGACAAGCTCCTCAACTGTGCGCAGACTTATCAACATGAATATATATGTGCATATATATACGGCCAATTAGCACGATCTTAAACGCACTCACCCGCCACACAGTCGGGACACCAGCTGCGACCCTTGCTATCCTTCTCCCCAAAGAAATACATATAAATGAGGCAATTGTTCTTAGCGTGCACTTTGAGCGCATCCTCCAGCTGTTTAAAGCCCTGTATTGGTACGTATTGCGGCATCGTGCTTTTTCAGTAGCTATTGCTGTTGCCGTTGTTGTTGCTGTTGCTGTTGCTGCTATTCCAATTGGTGACGGCGGCCTTTTTGGTTGCTTTGTGTGTTGCTGCGATAAGTTTTTGTCGATTTGATAAGCTGAATTCGACGTTTTACAGCCGCCTTATCGGCCCACAAATTGGCTTAATTGGCTAACAACAGCAACAACACTAAAAAAAAACGCCGCCCGGCAATTTATCGTTTCGAGAATGCGGTCACACACATACTCACATTGCGCTGCTAATCTGTGCTTGGTATTTTTTGTGCGGTATTTTTCTCGTGCGATATATTGACAGCAACTATTGCTGCGTGCGATGCCATTCGAAATCGTTGGCAACGTGCGTCGTACAAAAAAAAAAAAAAAAAAAAAAGCGCGCGCGCCAAACTTAAAATTAAATTTCACAATTTCTTCTTTAAAATTTTGTTTGCTTATTGGTGTGTGTGTGTGTGTGTCACTGACACAAAAACCAATTTATAGCTGTAAGATCAAAGTTTGTAACTTCAAAACTGTTACATGCCTTCCCGAATTTGAATCGCCCGCATATGCATGTACCATAACTTATATGGAGAACTTCCTGTTTATCGAAATATTTGCCGGTTGAATGCTCCGCAATGATGTTTTACAGGCGCACACATACACACGCACACACTCACACGTCTGTGCTGCTTCTTCCTCAATTATATTACCATTCATCGCATGTTGGTATCGATTATTGATTGCGTGAAAAGGGCAAAGTTATCGATGATTTGAAATAAACAAAAAAAAATACCAATACGAGCTACGTTCACACTTGGAACTCTTTAGCTTTCATATTCTCTGGCACAAGCGGACAGACAAACTATGCATTTGATGCTGATCAAGAATATATATATGCCTTATGTGATTGGACCCCGTTTACCCCTTTTCAGCATATAGGTTTACTTAAGAATTTCTTAAACTACCTAACTATGAGTCATATAGAGCGGCATATTTACCCGGAAAGCGCGCCATGAGTTGATGATGAATGAAAGAAATGAAACTGAGAAACTCCATTTCCAGAATCTGCATTTGTGCTAGGCACAGCGAATCGCGGCCATTCCGAGTGCCTTGACCCAAATCCAGATAGACGCAATGCCCAAAAACAGTTGACGCAGCTGCGCCTAAACTTGAACTTTATGGAACCGCACAGCCAGCTGTTTGGGGGTCAGAGCAGCTGGCCAGCTGGCCAGTCCAGCAACAAAAAAACTGCAGACGTTGTCGTAAACGCAGCATAAAACGCGCCACAACCAAACGATTGGCCAACACAAGTCGACGACGAGTCCAAGCCAGACAACAGATTGAGATGGGTGAGTTGTGCAGGCGGTGCAGCAGGCGGGCCAGGAACTAATCTCCCGGTTGACTTGCAGCATGCAACACGTGTTTAAGGGCGTCGCTGGTGATGCTGCTGCTGGCCGTCGTGGCCTGGGAGCAGCTGGTGGCGGGCAGCAAGATTGCCTACAAGAAGCCGCTACACGGCAAGCTGAGCTACGTGAAGGAGCAGCGCTTTAGGCAGCGCACAACCAACAGTCCGGCCACAAGCAGCACAGGGCCGGCGCCTGTGGAGTTCATCATCAATAGCACGCCGCGATCAACTAGCACGGAGAGCTTGCTGAAGCTGCAGACGGAGGCGGAGACGCAAACGGAGGCGGCGACGCAGACGCAGGCGGAGCCAGAGAGCAGCGGCAGTGGGTCTTTAAGCAGCACCACGCCCAGCAGCAATACGGAGCTGGAGCTGGAGTCGGAGCTAGAGGCGGGCAGTAGCAGCAGCAGCAGCAGCAGCACGCCGGCGAGTCTAGACAACACGTTGCCGTTGCCGCCAACGCCTGGGGATCAGTTGAATCAGCCAGTGCCCTGCACCTGCGGCGTCTTCCTCTCCTCGCAGATACAAAACGGTTTGCCGGAAACGCCGCTCATTCACAATGAAATGGACCGCATGTATCCGTGCAATGCGATCGGACGCAAGCAGTGCCAGACCAAGTGTCTCGAGGCGGTGAGTGCCAGCTGCACGAATATGTGCTCCGCTTTTGCCCTTTGACTAACATTGGCCGCTGATCTTTCCAGATTGTGCAGCATTTGCCAAACTCGGCGAACATTGTGTGCGCCACGCTGGGACACGATTGCCACAAGGAGCGTGCCTACTTGTTCATCAAGAACTGCCACAATCAGTGGGTGAATACGAATCTGCAGGCGGGTCGCGAATATTGCTGCAAGGCGGGTTTGCCTTATCGCTGTCCATTGTTGGGCTGAGCTTGAAATGAATTCAACAAATAATTTCACACGTGACTACAATAAAGGCTTAAATATCGACACAAAATCTAAAGAGTTTGATGTTTGCAAAAATACTATTATCGATAGCTGTTTTAGGTATTTGGTATTTTTTGGCAATTTCGATAGATTTGTGAATGACGTTAACTTTTTCATTTTTCTATTTAAAAAGATAAATTTAGCAACAAAGAATCAGTATGCTACATTTTGTTTTGCCTATTAAGCAGCAGCGTTATTTAAATAGCTCGTGACGTCAATGCTGTTCAAAATTAAGCTGGTCACTCTGCTGCATTGTTTTGAATTTTCAATGAATGAATTTATTTTGTTGCGAACTAATTGTATTTGTATGTCATAGCAGGCTGTGCAAAACAACTTTAGCAGCTTAAAAGCTCTAGAATTTTATATAGTCATTGGCAAAAGCATTATATTGTTTCTAATCAAGTCTAGCTGTAGGATATTATATATTTTTGAAGCCGGGACTAGAATAGCTTAAAGTATAGTTAAGTAGCACATATAATTATCTATTTACAAATGAGTTTCCATAAATTTGTTCGCATCTATTTGTGGATATTATTATTCATATCGGTTCTGTTTGTAGCGCGTAATTTGTCGACTTACTACCTCAGCGCACTTGGTCACACTGATCCCACATCAAAAGATAGAAGAAGACCAGACAAGTGTTAACAAGGTGAGTTGCATTAATTAACACTGAACTAATGTTTTGATTGATTTATAGACCTTCACATTCCATTTACCAGCAGCCACCCACTTGCAAGATGGTTTGCGTGCCCTGTTTCATCATCCCACTGCTGCTGTACATCTGGCACAAGTTCGTGCAGCCAATTCTGCTGCGCTACTGGAATCCGTGGGAGAAAAAGGATGCACAGGGCAATGTGATCAAGGCCGGGCCGGAATTCCCCTTCGAATGCAAGGGAGGCGTCTGCCCATTTGTGCCCGGTGGCAACAAGGAGAAGAACCCACCAGCTGCTGAGGGCTCCACCTCTGCCGCCAAGGAACTGACTGCAACGGAATCCGTCTCTGCCGACGGCCCTGACGCTTCCGGCACACCAAAAAATACGCCAATTACAGCGGGGACAAGTGCCGAGTCCAAGAAACTTAACTAAATTACTGTAGATTTTGGATAGTTTTTTTTTCTCATTTTTTGTTTTTGTTTTCTACTTTGTGCTTGTGTGTGTGTGAATTACACGACGAACATATGACTACACTGGTGGCACAATTAATGCGCACAGTGGGCATTCCAGACATTGTCCCAGGCAGACTATTTTACACCCTACACAAAACAATTTACGCTTAACAAACAAATTCTTAATCCAACAACACACATACTGTGCGGCTATGTACACACACATATAATTATCCATAAAATAAACCCAAGAGTGTGAGTGATATATTGATATTGATTTCCTGGTCTGCGTGGGACGAGGGGGGGGTGTAGGGATTTAGTTAAGCAGGTGCAAAGAGATTCAGACGGGAAATATTACTTGAGGCTATTCTTTGGATGCTTTTAAACATGATCAATATATATATATACATATGTTTTGTTTTGCTCATGTTCGTAGTCTAAGTTTAAATATTAGATCAGAGAATGTCTTGTCAACAAATACCTAAAATTAGCTTTGGTTATTTTTTTAATTATAAAAATAAATAATTATAAAAGTTGATTATAAAGCCTAACGAAAATATACATGTGTTAAAATGTATTCAGTTTAAAGTATTTTTTAGTTACTGAGGAACTTAAAAGAACATACCCTGCCAAGTTCTCCTCCAAAGCCTGCTTGGTGGAGGTACTACAGACTCTGTCTAGCTGGTCACACTGTCTTTCATCCAAGATTGCAGTACAAAGCTCCGTGGAAAATGCTCGCAGCTCCCAAAGCAGGATGGACAGGCCCGTTCCTGATGCACTTTATTTCTGCTCGGCTGAAGCCAAAGCCCATTTGCAAATATTGCTCTTGTTTTAATTAATTAAATTGCCACCAATTATGCCTGTAATTTAATAATTTGTTAGATAAGATCACATTTTAAGTAAATTAAATATGCATTTTAAGTAGCCTTGCCAACTCTGGGCAAGACAAAATCTAAATTGCTTATATTTTCGTAATATAAAACATACTTTTGCGCTTTTTAAAAGGAGTGTGGACACAATGCCTGGGATTCGAACCGGCACCCTCATTTTTATATTTTATGAATATTTTACTATTTTCATACTATAAAATGTTTACTTCTGTTTCTTAACAGCTAGAAGCTAAGGCTTCGGATTCGAGCCACCACCCTCGTTCAATTTGTTGCATCACTTTTTATATTTTTATAATATAAGACGCTGCTTAATATATGGAGCCAGGCGACAAAACTGGGATTCGAACCAGCACCCTCCTTTTTCTAATTCTTTTCGAAAGCTTGGGGCCAAGACAAATGCCTGGTATTCGCACCATCAGCCTCTTCTAATTTTGTTGTAGTTTTTTATATTTTCACAATATAAATAAAAAAAAAAAAAAAAAATATATATATATAGACTTATATATATAAATGTCCAACTTAAGAGATCTCTTCCATATATAAGTATATAACTCTGTTATAAATGATTTCTTTTGTAAATTCCATACAAAACATATAAATCCATTTGCATTTGTTTTTAAAATAATTATTTTATATATATTTATTATGTCAAAAAAATTTGCATTTGCATGTTTCGTTCGCTGTTTAAGTTAGGACAACAAAAAATTGTACAATTTACACATTAAGATTAAGAAAAAGCGCAGCAAAACAACTAAAAAAAAAAAAAATAATTAAATAAAGAATAAAGTCATTTTAAAATAGATGAAAATGTGTTTCGTGATTAACGCGATTACAAAAATGTTGTTGCATATTTTTTGAAAAAATACATATATATATATATATATATATTTATTTATATAAATCGGTTTATCGTTAAAAACTTAAGCCGTACTTTGTCTAAATTAAAAAAAAAAAAACTTGGCGCTTTTAATTGTTTATCAATATATAGATATATATATCTATATATATTATAAAGTTTCTGTGCGGAAAGTTGTAATTTGTTGCGTTCATCAACTTAATTCAAACAATTATGAGAATCTTTTTACAATTTAAACTTAATATAGCGTTTTATGTAGAATTACATAAAAGTGTATATATAAAAAAAAATATAATATATATATATATGATATAGGCTTGCAGAATGTTTCGTTCGTATTGTATATATAGCTAACAATTTTGTTTATATAAGCACTTCAGTTTCCAAACTAACAGCTAAACATTTAATAATTATGCAATTAGTTTAAAGATTTTGTGTGTTTTTTTTTTGTTTCTTGTTTTTTAAACTTAATAATTAAACGTAGTCGTAGTTGTTAAGAACTATTGATGATATTTTCTTGTAAGTTTTTACGCATTCTGTTTCTTGTTTTTGTTTGTGTTTTTTTTTTCCAATGCTTAAGTGCGTTTGCCGTTTGGCCAGCACGCATTTTACAAATACAAATTACAATTAGATATTACAATTACAAAATACACGTACATGTTAAATAGTTGATAATAAAAGTAATTTGCGCTAATTTTAATTGTTTACTGGAAGCAGCGATTGGTACGCGACATTTGCAAATAAATATCAAGTTATTTATTTCATTAACTTTGCTCGAAAACTGCGTTCAACTTTTAGATTTGGGTATGGGGTATGCATGCATGCAGAAAAAAAAAAAAAAAACTAACTTAATCTCTATATAAATTTATATATAGATATGTGTGTTTATATATCGGGCATATACACGCGATATATGCGATGTCTACGCGCACTGTACAACAAATATTAGAATTAAACATTTAAATTACTACAATTATACAATAATACAATAATTATGTGTTGTTTTTTTTTTGTTTTTCTCTTTTAAATTAAAGCTTAAGGGCTAGTCAAAAAAAAAAAATTAGAAGCTGTTGTGGGTGAGGTCTTTTTCTTTTTTGCGCGAAGGGTACGGGAGGAGGGCTTGCTAAAAGTCAAAAACTAGCTCGCCAGCTAGTTGGCTGTCTGGCTGGCTGTCTGGCTGGTGGCTGCGCACTTTGAGTGCCCACACCTTTAACGTCTGCTCGTCGTCGCCATGCTGTGCTCCGCCTGCGTCTAGGTGCGCTTATGTCAAATGTAAATGGCCTCGGAGCCCTTGTTGGCCTGATGGCCGCCCGAGATGTATAGATTGTTGGCCGCCGGCGATTGTACGCCCTCGGACCAATCCGAATTGCTGCGCGGCGACGATGATGACCAATGTCCCGGCGATTCCGGTGATGGCGTCGGATAGCTATCCAGCGTCTGCACCAGATGCTGCGGCGTATGTCCGCCCGAATGTTGGCTGGGCGGCGTTAGGTACTGATAGAAGGCCTGATTGTGCTGCGACGATGGCGACAACATGTTGGTCGACGGCGACGAGCCCGACATTGAACTTTGTATCGAAGGCGGATTCATTTGACCCGAGTGAAATGAGTCTGCAAAAACATATAAGAATTAGTTAAGCTGTCGATGTGGTTTCACCAATCCTCTATAGCTCTTACCCGGAGATCCACAAAATCCATTCAAGTCCAAACCGGCTGAACCGAATTCAAGGCCTCCGATTGCTTGTTGCTGCTGCTGCTGTTGTTGTTGTTGTTGCTGCTGCTGCTGCTGTTGTTGCTGCTGCTGTTGTTGTTGCTGCTGCTGTTGCTGCTGCTGCTGTTGCTGCTGCTGTTGCTGCTGCTGCTGTTGCTGCTGCATTTGCGGGGACAACGTTTGCATTATTGCACTGCTTTTTGCATTATTGGAGGACTGGGGCGCCAGCATGATGCCCATATCGCTGCCCGTCGGCGATATGATGCCCAGGCTAACCGGCGAGCTCTGCGGACCCATGGAGCCATTGCCACCGCCCAGCAGACTGTTCAGATTGCTGCCGAATTGCTTCTGTTGCGTGGCATGCCGCATTGCCTGAATGTGAGTCGGCGATGTGGGCAAACTGGGCCGCGACTTGGCCGGCGATGGTGAGCCTAAAATATATGAATATATGTATGCATGTTAGTTTGCCTTCATGTTAGCCAGAGCTGCGGTACTCACCCAAATAGGCGTGCGGCGATAGCGCCAGGCTGCTCTGCACCGAGTGCGGCGGCGACTGATTGGAGTAGGGCGGACTGAGGCCCTGCTCGTGACCGCCATTGGGCGCACCGTTGACCAGGCCGCACAGCGTATTGGTGCTGCGTCCGCCGCTCAGGCCCAGCGCCTGACCGTTCAGCATTTCCTGCTGAAATGGCGAGCCCATCGAATAGCCATAGTTGTCCAGCTTAATCATGTCTAGACTGTTCGCTGGCAGCGATTGCAGCGACTGTGCGTTCTATTCAAAAGCAAAGAAAATACATAATTAATAGTATATTAACCTATGCAGAGTTGAACAACTTAAGCCTTATAACTCGTAAAATGGATTGATTACTGTCAGTTTGCTGGGAAGACATTAAAAATAGCAATACTGTGAGTCTGTATCCCAAAGTTGCTGGCTCTGTCTCTTATAGTTCTCGAGCTATGCTCCGTGCAGTCAAAATGAATAGGGATATTTTTTTTGATTTTGTGGTAAGGGGAGCCGAGTGACGGGTTGATGCCCGTCAAGAATCGATATATACTTTCTGGCATGCACTTCCCATGTTTGTTCACTTTGAATAAACATTGCCCGAGACTCACCTTGATGCAGTCCTCATAGCTCGGCGGCTGTTTGGTGCCGTTGTTGTTGTTGGGCGGCGCTGCCATTGCATTCGAGTACATGGAGCTGGTGTCGTAGGGGCTGGGCAGATTCACCAGTTGCCCGTTGACGTTGCCGTTGCCACCGCCGCCGGCTGTTGCTATTGTTGGCGGCGGCGGTGAGTCCAGATCCGTGCAGTTGTTGTTGGTCACCTGTGCGATGGCCGACGATGTCAGCAGCTGGGCGGCATTCAGGCCGTTCATGGCCTTTTTTGAGGCTGCGCTGCTGCCGTTGTTGTTGTTGTTGTGGTTGTTGTGATTGTTGTTGTTGCCCTTTTTTGAGCTAGCCTTACGTCGCAGGCTGCCCATGTTGCCAACAGGACCGCCAGCAGAGGAATCCAGCACATTATCGGGACTGTTGCCCTCGATGAGTTTGGCCTTCTTGGCGGCCTTCTGCTTAGCCGCCTGGCTGCTCTGTTTGCCGGCCCCGCCGCCGGCCGGAATGACCGTCGGCTGTGTGATCAGCTGCGGCTGTTGGCCAGGCGGCGGTGAGCCAATCATTGCCTGCGGCGTCATGCTAATCATTTGCGGTGAACGCGGCACATGCTCGTCCAGCAGCCGGACAATGTCGTGATGCAGCCGTTCGCTGGCGACGTCCCGTGGCAGGCGATCCATGTGATCGGTGATCTCGCGATTGGCAAAGTTATCAAGCAGCGCCTTGCAGGCCTCGTAGCTGCCCTCGCGTGCGGCCAGAAACAGCGGCGTCTCATCCTTATCATCCTGGGCATCGCGATTCGCATGATGCATCAGCAGAATATTTACCGCTTCCGTGTTGTTGACGGCGGCGGCCCAATGGAGCGCCGTTTTGCCAGAATTGTCGGCCGCATTGATGTCCGCATCGGCTGTGATCAGATCCTCGACCATGCCCTCGATGGCAAGGCGTGCGGCCAGTATGAGGGGCGTGGTGCCATCATGCATGCGTGCATTCAAATTGGTAGCACGATTGCGCAACAAGATCTGAAAGACGCCCATCGCATCGGCGGCAACTGCCGCATGCAATGGCGTTCGGCCCGTATTGTCCTGGCAATTGGCATCGGCGCCGGCGTCGAGCAGCCGCTTCGCCGCATCCGCGCGAGCATAGCGTGCCGCCAAATGCAAGGAGGTCTCGCCTGTCTTATCCATAGTGGCGTTCAGCTCGGCACCCTGCGCCAGCAGATCGGATATCACCTGGGCAGTGCTGTCCTCGTTGTTCTCAATATCCTCGCCGCTGTCCAGACCGCCGCCGCGCACAGCGGCAATCATGAGCGGCGTCAGGCCGCACGGACCGCGTGCATCCACGTCATGCTTGCCGCCATCCTGATGCGCCGGCGGCGTCATAATGGCGCGCACATCGGCCACATCCAGATGCGCCTGCGACCAGACACGCTGATCGGCCTCCTCGTACTCGCTGATCATTGTATGGTCGCTGGCATAGCCGACGCTCGTGAGTCCGGCGACACTGCCGCCGCCGACGCCGCCGCCCAGGCCGGCGAGTCCGCCGCTGTTGAGCTGATCCGCACGCTGGCGCTTCGGTTGCGGCATATCGGACTCATCGTCCGACCAGTGACTGCCGCCGCCGACGCCAATACCGGCGCTGCCGACGCCGCCGGCGAGCTGATGCGCCTGCGCCTGGGCCAGGCCGACTTGTTTGTTCAGGTTGCGCATCTCCTGGCCATGGGGATCGCGACGGCGACGCGACATAACAGCCGCCGCGGGCGCACGAAAGCCCTCCGGGAACCAGGTGACGCCATGCGCGCGCTTGCGCTGTGTGCCCAGCATAATGCCAAAGAAGACCAGCGCAATCACGACCAGGACAATGCCCATTATTACGAACTTGACATTAGCCGGCGACTCGGCGCCCTCGCCCTCGCCGGGACTCTGCACGCCGCGCACACTGTAGATGGGATAGCGATTGGTGAACGTGTGCTTTGCGGCGGACGCGGCCAGAAACTCGGCCGCCTCGGTGGCACGATTGAAGCATTCGGTGCACTTGCGATTATCGATCTCCAGATAGATTTGTATGCCCGTCTGGCCGTTGCGCTGTGTATACAATATCTTGTGCTTGCGTCCGAATTCGGTGTCCTGTATGTCGGGCATGCGCGAGGCGCCCTTCCAGCTGAAGATCATGTCGTTGCCGAGGGCATCCTTCTTGACGCGCACCGTGGTGCGCAGCACATGACTCATTTCGCGCAAGAATTGCGCCTGTTCCGCACGAAATTGTCGCATGTCCATCAGCATCACCACAGACATGGCGCCCTCAGCCAGCTGGGAGGACTGCTCCGACTTCTCGCAGTCGAGCCCATCCCAGCTGCACTCGGCATTGTTGCAGCCATAATCGCAGTAGCCATCGCCGTAGTGCTTCTGGCAGTAGGCATCATAGATGGACGCACAGCGCTTCAGCTTCTGTTCGCAGTCGCGGCCATCGTAGAGGCAGGCGGCATTGTTACAGTCCTGATTGCACTGCCCGTCCATGAAGACGCGCCAGCATTCGCGCGCCGTGCAATTGGCCCACGGATTGATGCCCAGCGAGCAGTCGTTACCATCAAAGTTGCACGCATACGTATTACATTCGGAGTCACAGACGCCGTTGCTCTGCTTCTCGGGACAGCCGCGCTTCTCGCAGAGCGCCCGCTGCTGATCCAGATCGGCGGCATAGATGCCGCCGCCGCCGCCAGCAGCATTCGGTCCGTTGCCCACATTAATGGAGCCGGCGGAGGAGGAGCCGCCGACGCCGCCAGAGCTGCCGATGCCGCCGCCGCCAGAGCTGACGCCCGACCAGCCGGCATAGCTGGCATCGTAGATTTCGCAGCGTTTGCCCGTCCATTTACTGGGGCAGAGGCAATCGTAATCGCCAAGCAGATTGTCGCAGGCGGCGCCCTGCAGGCAGGGATTCGGCTGGCACTCGTCCAGCGTATCGATCTCACAGTGCTGTCCGGCTGTGCCGCGACTGCACTCGCAGCGATAGCCGCCGGCGTCCTCGATGATGCAGTTGCCCGCCCGGCACGGATTCGAATCGCAGTCCTGGCCACTGAACTCACAGTTCTTGCCATAATAGCCGTCGGCGCAGACGCAATGGTGTCCGCTCTGTTTGGTGCTGCAGACGCCGCCATTCTGGCACGGCGACTTGGCGCAAAAGTTAACCTTGTGCTCGCAATGGCGTCCCATGTGACCGGGCCGGCAATTGCAGTGATAGTTGTTGACCAGCTGGACACAGTCGAGGGTGCCAGCATTGGAGCAGGGATTGCTGAGGCACTCGTTGATGTCGCCCTCGCAGCGTGCGCCCACAAAGCCGGGCGGACAGGCGCACTCAAAGCCGCCAACGCGATCGATGCAGCTGCCATTGTTGTGACAGGCGCCTGGCTTGCAATCGTCATGATTGAGTTCGCAGAGCATGCCCTTGGTGCCCGGCGGGCAGCTGCAGCTGTAGCCATGCACAAGATCGTGACAGGTGCCGCCATTCTGGCAGGGATTCGGTGCACAATCATCGATATTTAGCTCACAATTCTGGCCCTGGAAGCCCTGCCGGCAGCTGCACTGATAGGCGCCCACCAGATCGCGACAGGTGCCGCCATTCTGGCAGGGCTGCGAGGCGCACTCATCGATATCCTGCTGGCAATAGCTGCCCGCATAGCCCTGGCTGCAGTAGCAGACGTGGCTGTTGCCGTGATTCTTGCAGGTGCCATTATTGCACAGCTGCTTCACGCTTAACCCCTTGCGCTGGGCCGCATCCTGGCAGCTGATCATCTGGACATCGCACAGCTTGCCCGTCCAGCCGGCGGCGCACTTGCAATTGAATTGATGTTTCAGCTGGCTGCAACTGGCGCCGTTCTCGCACGGCGACTGGGCACACCAGTCCACATAGTCGGAGCACTGTTTGCCCGTAAAGCCGCTCGGGCAATGGCAGGTGTACTCGTCGCGCTGCTCGTGACACGTGCCGCCATTGAGGCAGGGCGCCGAGTCGCATTTGTTCAGCTTATATTGGCAATTGGCGCCGCTGTAGTCCGGCAGGCAGCTGCAATTGTAGCCATTGATGCCGTCCACACAGCTGCCGCCGTTCAGGCAGGAGCTCTCCGTGCAGTCCTCGTCGTTTGTTTGGCAATCGATTCCGCTAAAACCCAGCGGACAGGTGCACGTATAGCTGTTCACATACTGGCGGCAGGTGGCGCCATTCTGGCAGGGCATGCTCAGGCACTCGTTGATGTCCGTCTCGCAGTGTTTGCCATCGAAGCCGTCCACACAGAGGCACGAGTAGTCGCCAATGCCGTCCAGGCAGGTGCCACCGTTCTGGCAGGGAAACGAGGCGCAATCGTCCGTATTGATGGCACAGTCCCGGCCCTCGTAGCCCTTGGTGCACAGGCAGCGATACGAGCCGGGCACATTCAGGCAGCTGGCGCCGTTGCGGCACGGCGAGCTGAAGGCGCACTCGTCGATGTCCTCGTCACAGTAGCGTCCCGTGTAGCCCAGCTTGCAGGTGCACGAGAAGTCCAGGAAGTTGGGACTGGGCGTGCACTTGGCCTCGTTGCGACAGCGATTGCTCGCACACGGATCCAGTTGGCTCTCGCAATTGAGGCCCGTATAGGGCACCTTGCAGACGCACTTGTAGCCATTGACCTTGTCGATGCAGGTGCCGCCATTGGCGCAGGGATTGCTCAGGCAGTCGTCGATGTTCGTCTCGCACTTGTGACCCGTATAGCCCGGCATGCACTGGCAGCTGAAGGCGTTCAGTTTGTCAAAGCAGCTGCCGCCATGCTGGCAGGGATTGCTGGCGCACTCGTCAATGTCCAGCTCACAGCGCTTGCCCGTATAGCCGGGCGGACAGTGGCAGATGAACTCGTTGATGCCATCCTCGCAGCGGCCATCGTTGACGCACGGACTCGAGGCGCACTCGTCGACATCGCTCAGGCAGCGGGCGTCGTAGAAGCCGCGCGGACACTCGCATTTGTAGCCATTGACCAGGTCCATGCAGACGCCATTGTTGGCGCACGGATTGCTGGCGCACTCGTCCACGTTCAGCTCGCAGTGCTGGCCCGTGAAGCCGGGCACACAGCTGCAGCTGTACGAGTTGATGCCATCGATGCAGCTGGCGCCATTGTTGCACGGATTGCTGTGGCATTCATTCACGTTGATTTCGCAGTTCTTGCCGCTGGTGCCGGGCAGACAGTGGCACAGATAGCTGCCCACACGGTCCACACAGTGTCCGCCGAATTGGCAGGGGTTCGACTCGCACTCGTTGATCTGTTTCTGGCAGAGATAGCCGGTAAAGCCGGGATCGCACAGACACTTGAAGCTGTTGTCGCCATCGATGCACTTGCCCCGATGGCACGGACTCGAGTCGCAGTCATTGATGTTGATCTCGCAACTGGTACCCGTATAGCCCGGCGGACACTCGCAGCTGTAGCCGGCAATGCAGTCGTGGCAGATGCCATTGTTCCGGCACGGCTGCGATTGGCAGTCGTCGATGTTGATCTGGCAGCGTGTGCCCGTAAAGCCGAGCGCACAGCTGCATTTGAAGCCGTTGATCTTGTCGTGGCAGATGCCATCGTTCAGGCAGGGACTCGATTGGCACTCATCGATATCGATTTCGCACTGGGTGCCCGTAAAGCCGGGCATGCAGACGCAGCGGAAGGTGCCCGGATCGTCCAGGCAGCTGCCCTCGTTCTGGCACGGATGTGATTCGCATTCGTTGATGTTTGTCTCGCAGCGCGGTCCCGTGAATCCCTGCGAGCAGTTGCACATAAACGAGCCCGGCGTATTCACACAGATGCCGTTGTGCTCGCACGGCGAGCCCTGATCACACTCATCAATATCCTCGGAGCAGTCGACGCCCTTGTAGCCGGTGGCGCAGGAGCACGCATACGAGCCATTTATGGGGCTCGTGTCGCAAATGGCATCCGCATGGCAGGGATTCGAGGTGCACGCATCGTCCAAATGGCACAGCAGGCCCGTCTTGCCCGCCGTGCAGCGGCAATAGAAGCTGCCCACGCCATCGATGCAGGTGGCGCCATCAAAGCAGGCCGCCTGGACGCAGTCATCAATGTTCTCGCTGCAATCGCTGCCGGCCCAGCCGTTCACACAGATGCAGCTGTAGGTGCCATGGGTGTTCGTGCAGGTCGCTCCGTTCTGGCAGACTGACGGACGCAGCGCACACTCGTCCACGTCCACGTCACAGTAGCGTCCCGTAAAGTTTGGCGGACAGTTGCAGCGATAGTCATTGATACCGTCCACACATGTGCCGCCGTTCTGGCACAGATTTCCCGGGCAATCGTCGATGTTCTGATCGCAGTTCTTGCCCTCGAAACCTGAAAATGAACAGGGAAATAGTTTGAGGAATTTCGATTAGATTTGCATTTATTTGAATATACATAAATCTATTGATAATACCAAATTGATCATTGAATTAAAGTTTGTATAAAAGAAGTTCTTAGACAAGAATATATTCTTCTTCTTTGTATTTTGCAATTTCTTCTGTTTGCGCATATTTCCGAATATATACATGTATGTTCATTGATCTCGTAAACCCTTATACTATACATATATAGAAGTTTAGTTTCTAAACAGAGAGCATTATTGGAACTAATTTTTCGAAAGAATACTATGTACGATTTATTGGGGCAAGTATATATGTATGTACATATGTATGTATACATAAATGGGCTTGGAGCATACAGAGAACAACGAAGGTAATCATAAATTGAAAAAATTATTTTTGAATTCAATCGTTATAACTTAAATACCGACAGTTTGATTGGATCGCTAAACGGTCACACTGCAAGTGAACATGTGTACATGTGCATACATATTTACATATGTGTACGCATGCAAGTGTGTACATGTGTATGTATGTATGTGCTCAATGAAGTGCATAAACAGATTTATGGACAACAACACAGCATCATAAAATGCTTCAATAAACGAAAACGTTTACAACAACAACAACAACTGGCCAGGGCACGAACAAAAAGTGGTTGCCAGGCAATGCGAAGAAGGCGCACAAAGCGCAGACAACGCTTAAAATATGTCCATACATACATGTGTTCATAATGTATGTATGTATATGTATGTATTTGATCGGCGGCGTATGCAGCTGTGTTGCACATGTTTTGGCAGCCAGATGGAGTCCCAGCGACGAGCACTCAAAACGAGCTGGAATGAGGGAGGGTGTCAGAGCGATGAGAGTGTCGAGAGCGCACACAGGTAAGTCGAGAACAACAGCCGGCGCTCTGTCGCTCTCTTAAGCTACCTATCTCGCTCTGCAAGTAGCGCTCTCGTAGTACGGCTGCGCGCGCTCTCCGGTAGGTTGCGCCTGCGGCAATATATACATACATACAAACACCATATACATACATACAGACATATAAAAAGACACCGACAACAGCAGCAAAGCGAAAGAAAAAAACTGCGCGCCGCTGCGCATGCGAAGCGAATGAGCAAACAAAATGTAAAGAAATAAAACAGACGCTCGCATGCGCATACATATGGATCTGTATGTATGTATGTATGCACGTGTGTGTATGTGTGTGTATGTGTACAACACGTCTTTGGTTGTTCTTTCCCACGGTCTCATATCTGGCCAGGCAGCTATCTGAATGCGCGCCAAGCAAACGAGCGCAACGAGCGTCGTCCACGAGCGCGCTCGCTCGTTCGCTTCCCCATCCATCCACATACACAAACAGAACCACAGCAACAAAACCAACAACAACAATGCATAAATGCTGCTTATGCTGCGAGCTAGCTTCGGCTCTCGTTTGGGCAGTCGGTACTCGGCACGCCTCGTCGCTCGGCTCGATCGAGTTTTCTACTACTTTTATGCTGTTTGTGCGTGTGTGTGTGTGTGTGTGTGTATGTGTGTTTAGCTACGCTTCGGACTTCGACTTTGTACATTGCGCTTTACTTTGTGCTTCATTCGAGGAATTAAATCGCACTTTATGTTGCCAAGTTTCAATGCATACTTTTAAAAATAAACCAAGGCAGGGCAGCAGCAGCAACAACAACAGTAGCAACAACAACGTGCATCTGCTGATCTGTTGCACACATGTTTCATGTTCGCGCTTGATGCCACACAACCATCAGCGTTACCCAGTCACTTAGTGGCACTTTGAACTCTAGACAGCAGCTGCTCCAGTGACTCTTAAACCGCGAGCAAATTTAATGAAACGTTGCAAACGAAGATACGCTGCACGCTAAAATTATGCAGCCCACCCTCTTATGTGTGCGTATGAGTGTGTGTGTGTGTGTGTGTGTGTGTGCCCATTTAAGTCAATTGGTTGCAACAATTTGCATAAGTTGTTGGTCCGTTGGGTCAATCGACGACCTGTGACAAAACTAAAAGCCTAGCAACAATGCTGCCAAGCAATTAATGTAAACATAAAAGGTCCGTTCCGAATTTCGTAAAGTATTTAAATTTGAAAAACGCCAAACACAAAATTTCAGCTGTTTTAGCCGTTTAGAAAGTTTGCCATTTACAAGGCTGGGAACAGCTACGAAATAAGCAACACTTTTCTTATGATGCATTTTTATCATAATCGTTAAAAGCGACAGTGTTGATAAGCGCTAAACAAATACAAATGTTTTAGAAAGCTAGGGAACGTTTGGAATTGGCACATGCGCGTTATGTTTCCATTTACAGCTAACGGATTTTGAATCATTTGCAATCATAATTTAATAACCGATAAATGCCACGACTGTTATCGACAAAATGTGTGTGTGTGTGTGTGTGTGTGTGTGTGAGATTCTTCTGAGTCATGACTCGCCACGAGCCACGAGCGGTGGCCCAGGCCGAGAAGCGCGGCTGCCCACGCGGGGCCAAACTCGTTTGCTAGCTTTGACTTAAGAGTCAAGCGCGCTCCATATCGCCCGCTCCACCCTCTCCACCCTCTCCGCCGTGCAATGTGACCAGTCCATTAACCAGTTGGCTGGCATTATTCATCATTCATCATTCATCAGTTGAAGCAACTTTTACCCCAAAGAAAACGCATCGCATTTGGGCAGCACAGAGTGGATCATGAGCACCCCAGCTTGATCTTCTCCTCCACTCTCATTGTGTTTCGCTTTGCATTGTGCATGACCTCCTTAGGGCGTAACTGTGCTTAAGCATCCCAACAAGCCAGTGTCCAGCAAGCATCGTCCGTGGTCCATTGCCTGAGCCGTTGACTGAGCCGTGGCTGATTTATTTGTAATTTGCTTGCCCGGCAGAGCAAATTAAGGCAGGCGCTCGATTTTGATGCCTTTGACTGACTCGCCTCGTCGACTCGCTGCTTCTCAGTCCTGCTGCTGGCTGGCTGTGGACTGTGGTCTGTGGGCTGAGAGGTGTGGGGAGGGGTCTGCCCAGCACAGGCTGGGAAACAAGTTGAGCGACTGTGCGCTGCTTTTGTTATGTCGGTTTGTGCCGCCCGTTTTGCATAATGAGTGCAACTCCGCCCCCTCCTTCCAGCAACAATTCCCACTGGCATCTCCCGCGCTACCAACGTGATGTCCACAGGGCGCTTCGTGTCGTGTTGTTGTAATTTTTTGTTTGTGTGACTGGTTTGTTATAGTTGTCGTTGTCGTTGTCGTTGTTGTTGCTGTTGTAATTTCTGTTGCTCAACACTGGCACAAAAGGCGTTATAACATTTTCCATTGCATTATTGCATTTTCCATGTTTTTTTTTTTCTAGTTTCTTTCTTTTGCATCTCGAAATTCCTGGTCCGTCTCATTATTGGTTTGGTCCACTTCAATTGCCGCCTTTGGTCACACTTTCACACGGCCAGCCCATTAGAATTTTTGATTGGGCGCAATTAAAATAAAGGCCACTCCCACCAACTCTGCCCGTCCGCTGCACTTTTGCTGGCATTCGCCCTCCATTCGCACTACACACTACAATGCAATTCATTTTAATTGAAGTGAATTAAATGAACATTGCACACACACAAATGCCTTCATAAATATGTAAAATGTAAATGTTCGCAATTTACATGTCTAAATTGAATGCGCGACAATTGACTACAGCTGCGCGTGAGGGGGCGCAAAAGGGGGCTTTGACATTCATTTAAAGCATTGGCACTTGCTTTCAAAACGATGTCGATAACAGCATTTGATATCGATTATTGTTCCAAATTTGCAGAAATGGAAATGAAACATGCCTAATTAAATGTCTAACCTAAAAAGGGTAAGACTCAAAATGAAACAGGCTTGCATAAATGGAACATGTCTAGTTAACCTCACAAGGCTACGACTGAAAATGAAACATGCTTTGCTTATCTTAAAGAAACGGGAATAGGACATGTCTAGTTTAATTTCAACTCTAATCCCAAAAGGGTACGACTGAAAATGAAACATGCTTTGCTTGGCTTGTGGTATGAATAACGATAAACTCAACTGAAGTATTCTATGCACAGATATTTCGATAACTTTTCAAAAACTACCTTCGATTTCGCATATTTTTTATGACTTAACTGAAATATTTCTCCGTAACGTCTTACTAACTTCATATTAGAGTGAGTATTATTTCTGAAAATTAATGCTTTGGACTATGAAAATGTAAATAAGTCTATTTGCAAATATATGATTTACTCTACACAGCATGGCTGTAAGCCTATCGATAACACTTTCGATCAATTGCTTTAAAAACTGTTCACCTTCACGACAACAAATATAACTTAAGAAATAGAATGATTATTTGAACATTTCACTTACCACGTGGACATTTGCAATCGTAGGTGAGTCCGTTGGCGCGGCATGTGCCGCCGTTTTGACAGGGCGACGGCGAGCAGGGCTTGTACTTGGTATCGCAATCCTTGCCAGTGTAGCCAGCCGGGCACATGCATCTGGAAAGGGTGAAGTGGCATAGAAGTAGAACTGTTAGAATGATGTACGAATGGCAATTAGCAGGCGGTTGCATGGCCTCCGAGTGTTAGTTAATTGCAACGTGCAGCGTGCAACGTGAAACGTGCAACTTCCGTTTGAGCGAAATGTGTCTTGTGATGGACATGGCATGCGCCTTGTCCAGCTGCTGGTCTACGATTGCTCTCCCGCCAGCTCTAGTCGCAAGCATGATCGCAAACGTAGCTCTCTTCACTCATTTACGCTCTCGCTCTCCCTCTTACTCTCTCTCTCTAACTAGCTCTCTCGCTCTTGCGCTCTCTTAGCTCGCCTGCCTGCCACATTTGCTCAGAGTCGGTGGCATTAACCGGTTCCTTGGGGCTGGGTACACAGGGCCGCAACAATAAAAGCCAATATGTACAACAATGTTGCTAGCTAGTTTTATATATACATACAGTTTTTATATATAACATATATATCTATTGGTATGTACACAATATTTGTACCTTTGTTTTTTTTTTTTATGATTATTATTGTTATAATTGTTCTTTCTATATGCGTCTAGTTTGCCAGTGTGTACTTTGATTTTGGGCATAATACCTCAAAAAATACAGTCTTGCTTGGCAGCAGTTGGAAAACTGCAACGATTCTTAAGAACTGAGAGCTGTGGTCTGTTTAAACTGGTTCTTATTGCCACCGTAAAAGGGAGCCGCCGCCCCCCGCCTACTGTCTTAGCCCCATTGCGTCTGAAGATGGCCGCTAATTATGGCCATTAAGCGCATTTAATTAAATTAAACAATTAAAAGCCAACAAATGCTTAAATAGGCAACAGGCCTCGAGTGCCGCAATGCTCTTTGGGGACCTGTGCGGCTGGCCAATGAACCGACCCCCCCAACCTTCTGCCAATTGCACACCCCTTTGTGGCACCGTCCGCCGTACCGTCCCTCTTTGGCCTGCTGCTGACCAAATTACACATCGCAAATTGCTTCACCTTCGCTTTGGGCAAAACTAACGAACGAAATTCAAAATTGATTTTTGATTGACATGTGAAACTCAGCGGGCCAATGGCCCAAGGCGTTGATCATGCCGAGGCTGAGGATCGGTGGGATTCGTTGGATTCGGCAGTCTACTAAATGTGGTAGACACAAGAACTGCGCACAATGCGGGGACCCACCACAACGCCATGACTGATCTGCGGTGGATCATTAAGTCCGGCAGTGAGTGCACTCATCGCGTGAGTGATACTTGCTTTGAATCGCTTCGAGAGTATATTCTTGACCATTGCATGGAGTAGTTGCGGCGGCATTTGACGCACTTTATGTCATTTTGGCAAATGTATTCATGAATACACTCACTTTTAATTCGTATAAATAGTCTCAAACATCAACTAATACACAACACACACTTTTCATTTTATTTTCTAACCACTTAATTCATACATTCATGAATACACTTACTTGTTATTCATGAGTACTCGCATTTGTTTTATACGTGCATATATCTATATATATATATATGTACATACATGCTTATCAGAAAATCAATGCATACATACACGACTTATTCACTTATTCATATATACACTCACTTGCTATTCATGAATATTTTTGTTTAATGCGTACATATGTATATATATGAATAAAGAGATGTATACATTCACTTTTGAATAACATATTCATAAATAGATTCAATTGTTATTCATGAATACACTCAATTGGTTTATACGTACATATGAATATACATTTATAAGTATACAAATCCAAATGCACTCTTTATTCACATATTCATAAATAAACACACTTGTTATTCATGAATACACTCATTGGGTTGTACGACATATGAATATAAGCACATAAATGCAAAAGTGCACTATTTATTCACATATTCATAAGTACATTCAATTGTTATTCATGAATACACTCACATACACTCTCAGTTTCAGTCCTCTTTTGTCTGTTTAAACAAATGCTGCTTAATGTGAATGTGATAACGAATCAAATGTATTCAAAGATTTTGCTTGTTTGCAGTAATAAATCTAATCAAATGACAGCTTTACAATATTTATTTGGCTTATGGCCAAATGTTTATATATGTATATGTAATTGCTTGTCTATTCATATACTGGCATATTCATATTCATGCGCTTTGGCATGACTAAGCTTACGGGTGTATCATGTATCGCTGTCCACTAAATTAACGATTTTATTCAACTGAACAAAAAAAGCAATTTCCATAACGCTTTATTTAAGCATAAACAAAATAAAATCGGCAAGTCAATGTGAATATTATGCGAATCAATCGAACGAATGCCGCAAACAGTGGCTGCCATTTAAAAAGATCTAAGTGTTCCATTGATAACTCAGAATAAAGGAATTAATATTTCAGCTAATAGTTGGCAGAGACTTTAAATTGCCCACTTAACGAGCGGATACGTGGGGCGCATTTCGAATGATTGCAATTTATGGGGTGGCCCTCTGGGCACCCTCTCTATGTAGATGGCGGGTCACATAGTGCCTGCCTGACCACAACTTACAAATTGTCATTTAGCGGCAATACACAAGATCGAACCTTCTCCATATGTTTATGCTAATTGCAAACCAAATGTCGGATCATCGGGTCATTATACAAATGTCAAAAAAAAAAAGAAGGAAAAAACAAGCAAACACATGTTCACATCGCACTTTTTAGCTCGAATGAGTTTCTAATTCGATTTCTATACACTGTTTATGAAAGTCAAATGTGAGGTATATTAGTTTGCAGCATGCCTGAGAAAAAAAAGCGGTTCACGGTGCAAGCCCATTCTTGTTATTTGAGCCTGTTTATTTTTTTTCACAGTAAATAAAACAGGTTTTGGTTCGCACTTTTCACTTTAAATGAGTTTTGAATTCAGCCCAGTTTTATGGTTCGCAAAATTAGTAGTTCATGGTTCAAACCAACTTTCTGGCTTCAAGTACGCGTTGTGAGTCTGGCTTATCACAGTTTCTAACCTAGCTTTTGGTCTTATGTTTTCAAAACTTGAATGAAGCAATTGAATTTTGAATAATTTAACTTTTATATAGCCCGTTCGAGTGAATATGTTGCTAGACGCATTGTAATGCAGGGTTTGAACCAGTTCCATTCAACATGAATGCAACTTTGTTGCTCGAGCTGCTCAACTTAGTAAGGAATTTAGGTTCTCTCTAATCGCAAGCTTATTAAGATTATGAATTTTCAAATTGTTAACAACTGGCAGTCTCTATAAAAGATAACAATTTGAATTTTCAATTTTTGCCACTTCGATTTCCCTTCGCCTGTTCTGAGCTCTTTCTTAATTGCGTACAGTGTATCTAGCAGTCGCCTGCACACAGATCAATTCGGGGCTCAAGCAAAGACGCCTCCCCCAAGCGTTCGTTTAGCTTTGGCTTAGGGTATCTGGTAATTTGTGTGTGCTGCGAATTAAAAATGCAAATGTTGCCAATGAAATAATTTAATTTACATGTCGAACGGCGCGAACCAGTTGAGTTGAGCTACTAAACAAAGCGCCGGAAATTTCAGTTAGTTGCGACGTTTCTTCAATTTGAATGCAACTGTTGTGTGTGTGTGCGAGTGTGTGAATGTGTGTGTGTGTGGCTGATTTAATTCAATAGTTTTTGTATATTTTAATTAGAGTGGAAACTTGGTCCAATTGCCAATTTGTTTTTGTGTTTTGGCCAAAACCAATAAACTATTTTAATCGCTTCTCTATGCTAATGCGAATTCGGGCCGAAAATGTTTCGTGTCCGCGCGAACAATAAAGACCCGAATTCGATTTTATAAATTATTAGTTTTAAATTGTCATTAATTTGGCGCGCAGCCGCAAACGGTTTTTCGATAAATTAGATAAATATGCAAATGCGACGATTTGTTTTCTTTGATATACTCAAAGCCCGCTTCTCCACTCCATCCCTCCTTCCCAACCGCACCCTCTCCCACTCCCTTGCCAATATACAATCGGAACGTGTCTGATCTTTTGTCGAACAAGCAACCAAATTTGCACTTGTCATGCGCTGAGTTATGAACCAAATATATCAATGACACTGGCTGAAAGTGATGCTTAAACAGATGATGCCAAAACTGGCTGCAAACACAAAAGAATTCTGTTGAGCCCAGCTTCAGCTTCAAACCTGAACCTTGATACACATGTTCCTAGACTAAACTCCATGTTAATTGATTGTCTCCATGTCAGCTATATATTATAGCAGTGAAAAGATGATCCACAATGGATCAGAGATCGAGCGAGAAATAGTCTTGAATGCATTTAATCTGTGTTTTGTGTTTTTTGTGGTCCACTTACTGATAGGAGCCATGCGTGTTGACGCAGGTGCCGCCATATTGACAAGGATTCGATTGGCACTCCTCCACATCCTCGGAACAGGTGTGACCCGTAAAGCCAGGCGGACAGTTACAGCTGAATCTGCTGCTGCCGGCCAAAGCGGAACAGGTGCCGCCATTGCGACAGGGTGAGCTGGCGCACAGATTCTGTGTCTGGCAGTGATCGCCTGTCGGGTGAAACAAACATATTGGGCAGGAGATTAAAAATCGGTTTGATTGCCAAGTGGCTGTGGGGCGAGTTGGCCCAAAAAACTAACCCGTATAGCCATTGGCACAGATGCAGCTGTACTCCTGAAGCGTCTTCAGCTGGCAGGTGCCGCCGTTGAAGCAGCGCGCCTGATCACAAGCATTCGCCACCGCAATCTCGCAGAGCGACTCCTCAAAGCCAAGCGGGCACAGGCACGAGATGCCAGGCCGGCCATTCCGAAAGGCCACCTGACAGGTGCCGCCATTCTGGCAGCGTCCATGGCCGGTCAGGCAGGGGTTCCGATGTTCACAGTTGTCGCCAACATAGCGTGTATCGCAGCTGAAATAGATGCAAAGCAGATATATAGATAAAGTATCTCTGTGTGTTGGTTTGTATGTGTGATTGCAAATTCCGATGCACTCAAATCTTTATCTAATGTATGCGTTTATAATACTAGTATATGGTTTATGAACTCGCTCCAGAGCGGACACTGGTCAGTGGCAATCAGATTTTGCGGCGGCAGATTTGTGTCCACCGATAAGCGGCAAAGTGTTAAACCAGCTGACAAACTGACAAAGTTGCCTCATTTCCGCTTGCGGAGTAAAGCCAACAGGCAAAGCTGCTACCAACTGGCTCTCACAGCCAGCGACAGTAGCCTCGATAGCGTTACACTTGCAGAAAAAACCATGTACAAGACATAAGCAAGAACATCGCTAACTATAAAATCTATGTAAAGGACATAAACAAGAATTTCTACAGCTTTTAACCAAGCGTTTAGTTCAACTTTGTGTGTGAGACATGAAATTTTCATATTTGCATTAGCAAAAGCAATTTATCTATTGACAGTTGGATGATTTATCGAATTTTTAAATTACTCGCGAAATTGTATTTTTAATTATCAAATGGGTCTAAGATATAGAAATACTTATGATGTTATATTCAGTTATTGAATGTGACTGAGATATGCAAGTTAAATCTTGCAGAAAGAAAAAAAAGTTCTTTGGATATGAGTTGGAACCCGATTGGTGGTAAGCCCAAAAGTTCAATACAACCTTATTCCGTCTATGTTGCACAGTTGCAAGTGGAATGTGCTATTCAACCGTAATCCGCCTATTTTCCACAGTTGCGGGTGGAATGGCAAACAACCCTTGCACTATTCACATTATCAAAGCTAATTAGAGTAAAAAAAGTAGTTGAGCTTTGCATTTGCACAACAATGCTCTCTTTCAAAAGAAGAGCTAGTGTTTCGAATCCTTGCTGACAACTTGAGAGTCGGTCAAACATCAATGCGCACGTTTAAGTATGCACAATATGGCATGTGTGTGCACACCAACAACATCAACAACCAAAGAAAAACAACAACAAATTAGCAAAGTAATTGCAGGCAGTAAATGCAACGCCGAAGCGCACTTCGATTGCCAATGACGATGATGAAGACGATGACGATGGCGATGACGATGACAATGACTTGGCTGCTGCTGTTGCTGATGATGATTACGCCCCGAGTTGGAGCTAAAGTCGAACGACAACTTGCACATTGTTGTTTTCCCTTGAGAAAACAATTTTTATGTACGGTAATTTGTGCGCGATCTTGATTGCATATTAAATTTTCATCGAAGCCAAAGTCAAAGCCAGCTATACAAAGCAATGAGAAAATTACACGCATTGCCGTAGCATCAACAACAACAACAACAACGCTGGAGAAGAAGAAGAAGCAGCAGCAGCAGCAGCAGCTAGCAAGAGCTAAAAGCAATACGAGGCAATGAATAATCATTAAGGCGACTTCTGCGTTAGCCAACATCGAAAGAGAAGACTGGTTCGGGACTGGCTTTTCTTTGGCGCTGGCGCACTTACCGTTACAAGTGTGTGAAAATGCTTTAGATTTAGCATTAATTTGTAACACACATAACCTCACAAAATGCCCAGCCTAACCTCACTTTGAGTGTGCGATCGAGCGCCAGGGTGTGTGTGTGTGTGTGTGTCTGTGTATCGATTGTTGATCGTAATCGAAGCTGTTCGAGAAAATTAAATGGCGGTAGGCAAAACAGTTAGCAACATGTTGTTGTTGTCTTGAGAAATCGATGTTTGGCTGCCGCCGCTGCTGCTGCTGCTGCTACTGCTGCTGCAGTTTGTGGATTAAAGGCGAACCGCAACAAGACTGAAACAAACCAAGCGGCCGGCCAGTGACGATGTGGCTGATAAGGCCGCCAGCGGACTACCATTCAAATGAGAGAGGTGTCAGGCGTTTTTCACCGACAACATCGACAAAATTAATGTAATATAAATTATACACGAGCCAGTTGAGTTGAGCCAAGTTAAGTTGGGGCTGGTGTTGAGAGTTTTGCCCGCTTGCCCAGTTGCTAACTTGTTTCATGTTGTGCCTTGGCTCTGCCGTTTTTCAAATGAAACGCGAGAGAATACGAACAAAAAAAAAAAAAAAAAAACAGACAACAAAAAGAAAAAATACAAAACGAAGAAAAATAAATGAAAACGTGACTCGCATTGGCAAATAAACCAAAGTATTCAGCGGCAGCGTGGACAGGGTGTGTTTAAGCCTGGCTAGAGATGGGCGCGTGATAGCAGCGTGAGTCACGTCTGATAGCATGAACTCCTGTGAGCCATTTCACAGGCGTGGTGAGTTCACATCGCCTGTGGTGAGTTTTGTTAGGAGTTAAAAATTGATCAACTACAATAATTTTGAGCGCTTTTATAGAGTGGTGACTTTGCACTGAGGTGGTGAGTTTCGACCCTATGTGGTGAGTTTTGAGAAAAACTCAGAAATCGATCAGACAACTTCTTATGGCAAAAACCAAGTCTTATGCATGCGTGGTGAGTTTGTCTGGATTTGTAATAATCAAACTTCACGTTCACATCAAATCATCAACCATCACGATCTTTATGATATCTCACTGCACACGCCTGCAAACAAATAATACGAAAACAAAAAAAAAATTGGTTAGCCTTGTGTGAGAAAAATCTATTTGGCATGTTCAGTCTCAATCGTTGTCGCTGTCGCTGGCGATTTCAATTTGCGGTCGCCGGAGAGAAATGTTCATAATCATAACTTTATAAAGTTTCAGCTAGAGATAGAGCTTCTCACGAGCGTAACCGCAGCAGTAGCAACTGGAGGCTATCGAATGTGCAGCAGTTAAAGTTAGTATCCATAACCAGAGGATGATTTAATGTCTTTGCCCGATGATCAGTCATCTTTGCTCTGGTCTCTGGTCGCTGGTCTGGTCTATGGCTTCTGCGTCTCGCGGCTGCAGATCTACAAATGCAGCGGCCCAAGTATGTGAGCAGGTAAGTACAACGCCTAGTTAGCTGCTGGTTAGCTGGTTAGTTGTTGTTGTTGCTGCTGCTGTTGTTGTTGTTGTAATGCGCCCTGGGTATCTAATTTCTGCAGAGCAATGCAATTCACACGCTAGCCGGGCAGCTGGCAATGTATTCTGTTGAGCTAACACATATCAAGATCCGACGGACGACAATGTATGTAGAGGAGAGAGCCTGGGGGAAAAACAAAAAACAGGCGCTAACGTAGACGCTGGGGGCAGAGAGAGTGTGTGTGAGAGAGAGAGAGAGAGAGAGAGATAGAGAGAGAGAGAGAGCTGAGCGGAGCAGTGCCGAAAAATGCTTATCGCCCAGTTAACATCGCTGTCAATGTCTTGAGCCAAGTTGCAATTAAAGGCTCGGCTCGGCTTGGCCTGGCCTGGCATGGCTTGGCCAGGCTGGTTGACAAAAGCGCCCAATTAAAGCATAATTTTCTTTTTATTTGGCAAAAGGCAAAAAGCAATCATGTTGATGCTGATGCTGCTGCTGCCGCTGCTGCCATGCAGCATGATATTGATCTCTGTGGCAAGCTTGAGCTCTTGCCTCGCGGCTACGCTTCGGCTGATGAGCTTGCAGTAGTTATAGTTGCATTTGTTGCTGTTGCTGTTGATGTTGTTGTTTATGTGTGACAAGTGCGTGCTTTGTGTATTCGATCAGTCGAACTCTTAGTCTGTTGCACTCACAGCCCAACAAGGCAACGTCATTCATTTCGCTCAGAGTCAGACAAAGATCATTCCCTATGCTAATTAGTTGTTTAACCGAAGGCATAATATTTTGCTAAACTAGATGAAATTCTGCGGGTTATCTCTGCGAGACGCATAACAGCTACCATTAGGTTATCAAATCAGTTGCACACGCTAAAGCTGAGTTTCGAGATAACCATGCATTAACCTTTTCGGGGAATTACATTAGTCAAAGTCTTTTTTTTTTCTATAGTTTTTTCTTTTGCCTGCATAACAATCACGTCAGCACACAGTAAATATAAGTACAGGGAAAAGTCTTCGGTCCATATTTGCCCGCCCAATAGAGGGCAAATGGGTGTGGCATATTGCTTTTAGAGAAAAGAGAGGTGTCCGCTTGCTGGGAAAGTTTTAACTGCATTTCTTGAGGTTGAGCTCAAGCTGAAGTTTACGTTTTAACTTATTTATAAATATTATATTCATACGGCCCCATATAAGTTTAGTTTATGTCCATAAGTTGAACCCAATTTTATAGAGAACTATTTTAATTTGTTCATCTTTTTAAATTAAGTGTTTTTGTTGTATATTTTATTAGCAGTCGTCTGCCCTACGACCCAATAAGTTTTATCTCTATATCAGCTAATTTTATGTTCCATTTTACAACTTTATTTATACATAAGCTGTAAACATCTTGCATCGGTTGCGTGCATTTTCTCAAGTCAAGTTTTCACCACGCACCTATATGTTTATTCCCCATAATCAAAATAAACCCACTTAAGCTAACGCCTTTCGCTGATTCCTAAAAATTATAATTTATTTGTAAGTATTCTTTCGACGAGGATTGAAAAGCATTGCTTATTTGCCTACTTGGAGATTGAATTTTAAGGTATTTAACAATTTTAGTTTTTTGTCTTACATCTTTTCAATATTGATCAATTGTAATCTCTGCCTCAGTCGAAGATGAACACTTGACCTCTAGCCAGAATTCTACAAAAAAATATGCACTGTTGACAATCTAATCAAGTTTTGTAGGTACATCTAAGCATAGTCTCAGCGTCCGCAAAAGCTTTGCTTGGTGGCCAGAAAAACAAAGAAGAATATAATTAAGAGCTGGGCAGACAAAGGAAAAACATAAACCAAAGACACGATAAACAGAGAGACAAACGACAGTAAAACGTTCAGCAAAAGTTCTTAGAGGCTTTTTGTTATTGTCTTTCTTCAGTTTAGTGTTGTTCTGTTTTTTTTTTTTTTTTTTTTTTTTTTTTTTTTTTTTTTTTTTTTTTTTTTTTTTTGGGTAAACAGCGCAACCTTCTCACATTACCAGCATGCCAT